CAATACCAGGTTTTCAACTCCCAATGGACTTCCAAAATAGAACTTCAACTTGACATAGAACTCCAATAGCATTTCAAACTGAATTCTCATTAACATGTATTTCAATTAGAATTTTTCAATACTTCAACAAAGAATTCGAGTCACACTCAAATTCTAACAAGACTTACTTGTTCTCAATTGCTTCTAGTACATGCATAATGACATGACTTTTGAGTTTCTCGTCTAAATTTGTCTGTTCTTTATTCTTTGTTTTCTATAGTATTTGTACATAACAATTACTTGAGGAATGCAGAGATACACACTTGATATAAACAAAATGGTAACAACCATACATGCCTTCTAGTCTGTAAGACATGTTTGGAGCATTGGATAGCACTAGATAATATTAAAAACACGACTTTGCAAAAAAATTTATCATATTGCAGACAATGTTGTCAAGGTTACAACATCCATAACAACACAAAAGAGACCTCGATCCTACTTTGGAAAAAAAAAAGGACTTATAAACTCTGTTGAGAAGTGAATCTGTACTTCTAAGCCTCAATCTTCATCCTCTCCGTCTCAAGCTATATCTCTACCAGACTAGTGAAGTGGAAAAGAAAGAGGATGAGCACCTCTTTTAAAACGTCTCTTCACTCCTTTCTTCCTCCATTAATCTTCAACATTTAAATTCCTGCTTGGATACATAGACCAAAACAAAAGGAATTGTGCATGCCTAGTGTTAAGAGCCTTGAGTTCTCTTGCTCATTGCCAGGAAAAGAACGGATTAAAACATGATATATGTTAATTACTTAATTAACAGTGCGTATTTGCCTTTAATATCCATGAAGCATGGTATTGGGAACTGCTAACATCACATGCATCTTGACAATTGACAAATATTTAAGAATGTGATTATCACCACTTGAAGTACAGTATATGGATTTTAAAATATCCTACAAGAGTAAAAAATATACAGTTTCCTTGACAGTCTTATTAACGTTGTGTGACATGTCACGCATTTTTTTAATTAATTTTAACAACACCTAAAACATTCAGTGGTCTCGATTTTAACACTTCACACAATGTCAAGGAAGATGTACATTTTTAATGTACAAACAGCTTAATCCAAAAATATATGGTCAATATAAATGGAGTCGTTATCAAAATATAGTTTTAAAGACGATTTCAAAGAAATGATTATTTACCCTACATTCAAACATTAATAATATTACATTGAAAGAATTGCCATCTAATCTATCAAAATCTTATAAATTCATCCAAAAAAAGTCACACGAAACAAGGTTTATTTTGAAATATAATGGTCCAATTAAGAGAAATTAAAGTTCATCCATTCTTCGCTATAAATTCAGTTCCACAGATTCACCCATTAAAATCTTATTAGATACCTCATTCAATGATATTTAATATTGTGTAACAAAATTCTCAACCATTTTAATGTTCAATAGGATTAAATGCTTAGCAAACGATCCAGAACCACATATTATTGAGAAGATTAGCACTTAGGGCAATCATTTTTATTAGGTTAAAGTCATAATTTTCTTTGAGATCTGATTCATAGAATTTTCGATTATATCATGTATTACCGTATTACATTACATTTTTCAAAATAAAATTAGAAAGAAAATTAAAAATTACATCATGTATTATGATTTGGATTGTTAAAAATAAATGCTTTTTTCATATGATTTAGGATTAATTTTAGTTTAGATTAGATATCGGATCATGTGTGCTGTGAACTTATAAAATCATCGGCCAACAATGATGAACTTAATTTTTGAGGGAGAAAAAAAAAATCGCGAATCCACGTGAACCCGAACAAATAATTTCAAACTAACAATTTCAGTTCGATTTGCGATTTTTTGTATAGCCCTACTTTAGGCAATCCTTTTTATTAGGCCCCTGTTTGATCCCCAATATTGTGTATTTTTTATGGTTAAAAATTTTTGAAATAGTGACTGATGGGAGAATGTGTAGTGAAAAAGTAGTAAAAAGTTTTAGATTTGTGTGTAATATTATTTTATTTGATGAATGTGTGGTTGTAATGAATAGAGAAAAAAATTTAATGTAGTGTAATGAAATTTAATGGGGGCCAAACAGGAGCTAGGTAAAGTCATAATTTTCTCTGGGATCTGATTTATAGAATTATTTCTTAGATTATGCAATTGCCTTTTAGATTACAGCAATAAAAATAAAATTACTAGAATGAAATTTAACTATAAAATCATGCACCAATCCATTGTTCTATTTAAAAATGGCTTTCCTCAACCTTTGTTTTCCCCTATTTTTCTTGTTATTGATCATACTCCCAACTTTTGCTTATTCAGCCACACCAAGTGAACTTATACTTCCGATCAAGATAAAAATAGACAATCAGATGATGGCACCGTTAACTGCCCATTGCCGGGTTGTCGGCTTGGGAATCATCACAGAGATCGGCACGCGGACTCTAAAACCAAAAAGCACTTGGGATTTTATAGACAATTTTAATCTTGATAGAAGAAGTGGTCGTGCCGAGTGTGACATGACTGCAGGAAGTAAGAAAGGGCATTTTAATGTGTTTAATTTCTTTAGAGATTTCAACCGTTGTGCAGTTAACGTTTCAGGGTGCAATTGGAGTGTAAGATCAGATGGGTTGTATTTGTTTTATAACGGCAAGTACAACTTAATTTATCCTTGGTAATAGTGAAATTTGGCCTGGTTTTACATCTCAATAACCTAGCATAATTAATAAAAAAAATTACCTTTACTTGGTTTTTCCAAACACTCTTACTTCAGTTCTTTCATAGGAACATAAAATCGTATTGGGTTCAGAACAACTTACAATTTCTTCTATGCAAGCAGCAAATATCAACTATAGGCATTTTTTCCATCTACATATAAGCAAATATACAGAAACATCTTCAACGTCACTTTTTTCTCGGTTGTAAATTGACGTTGCTGACGAGAAATAACGTGTAATTAGCAAACTTTTCACAATGTTCAGCAAGGAAATGGCCTTCATGCTGCTTCAAAAACAAGAAAAACAAAAGAAAAGTATAGTTGTTATTTCCACTCACAACAAAAGAGCACAATGCGTGGCTTCAGAAGTTTTCAAAAGATAATTTGGATATATAATGAAATGTCACAAAGTGAAGTTAGACCGAGCTACCAGATTTTTTTTTTTTTTTTTTGTGGGGGCACTAAATAAAATAAGGGGAAGTGAAAACACAAAGACAACAAACATAATCACACTGATGAAATTAATATAGGTATGAAACAAAACCAGAGCTGATTCCGTCGTGATTGAAAGATGATGTAAAGAGATAAGCAATGATAAAAAGAATTCGTGCATATATTTATATATCTCCATAAAAATTGCTATCTCAGATTGTCGTCTGAACCCACAGCATCATCATGCAGCAATTGAGTTAGAATAATTTGCATACAACATTATTGGTTGAGAATCTGTTGGGGCTAAAATCTTGTGAAGTTGATGCTGTGCTTTGAGCTTACCTACAAATAATACAGTGTAGTTTGAACTATAGAAGAGGAGATATGGGCATTATTATTCCTTGACCGAGTGATCTACTCCTATCACTTGACTAAAACTTATTTGTTGTTTTGGGAGGGGAAGGGGGATGCTTGCCGAGCTTTGGCCTACCTCCCCTGTCTCAGTGCAGCTTTGGGGGTCACCTTCAAGCACTAAGCGAGTACAATCTAGGGTTGTAGGGCACGTAGTGGCAGGATCTATGCTTCTTGAAGAAGTGTCCCTAATATGGATTGGGAGAAATAAACAGGAAAGAAATTGGAGGGGAATTTCAATATATATCCTATACCAAATAATCGATTTAATAGTTTCACATTTGAAATACCTTACTCCTATCTATACTTAAAAATTCTAGTAAAAATGTAAATTAAAGGAGGAACACTAAACTCAATGAAATATCAAGGCAACCCCAAGTATCTTATGAACTAATTTTTTCTAATAGGCTATAGTAACCTTGCCACATGAGGTCCATTAGCTTCAAGCATGCCATTGTAGGGCAATGCCAGATAAAAGCTGAAAAGACCACTAGAGAGTGTAGAGCATGAAAATTGCATGGTAGGGCACATCAATGACCCTCAATGCTTGAGAGTACGAGTGCTAGCTTGCCACTGGATATAGTGGACCCCAAGTTAAGGAAATGAATTGCACACAAGTTGGCTAGTCGTGGGCACTCAATGAAATAGCAGTTGGATCCAAAACAAACATGGTCATTTTGAACAAGCAAATATCCTAGTACCAATTTCAACAGAGGGAGGCACTCAAGAGGTCGTGCTAGTAAGCTTTGTGGGTTCATTGTAGAATAAGTCATTGATATGACTCCATATGATGAAACTGGCCTTAGTTTAGTAGTCGAGAGGTTTGATGGTAATGCAGTCTAACGCATAGGTTCAAGCATGATTCAATTTGTAGTATTTTATTTAGTTAATTATGTTATTCATTCATGATTTAACTAGGCTTATGTTATAGTTGTAAGACTTTAGGGACTATTGGTGAAATGTTTTATTAGTTTTGGTAACTAGACTGTCAGGTTTCGGCTCCAAGAGCGTGTTTTAATTTGGTTTTGAATTGATTAAAATGTAACATAATTGTAGGAGTTTTTTCTCCAATTTCGACCTAAATCGCCAGCTGAAAGAACCAACAATTTGTCAATCTTATGTTCTTCGATTCTTACGCTTGCCCAAATGTCGAGCCATGACAGACTCATAGGTTTGATTCAACAAAGCTTTTGATCATCGAACAATTTAATTCACATACAAGTATGACCAGTTCACATTTTTGTAGGAAGTTAATATATTGAAAAACCAGTAATTATAATTATCCGATGCAAAAAAGATGTATCAGGAAATGGAAGAATGAGAGATAAAGCTCGTACCTTCCTAGAGCACATTGTCTTCTGGAACCATAAACTTTTGACTTAGACAGCTGCTGCTAAGACGTCATTGACCAATTTCAGCATACATTGTACAGCCACCTAGCCACTATTAGCCAGGCTAACTAAGTCTGCAATCGCATCTTCAAGCCTAGAAAAATGAGTCAAAAATGTTTTATGTACTTCAGTAGAGTCAACTTGATTATGTTGCCACTGGGAAAGAACGTCACCCATAACCTTCAAGCCACTCTGCAGTAATTCTACTCCCTTGCTGATTCCGTCAGGAAATTTTCTTTTCCTACTGAAATGTTTCTCATCGTCGATCTCCATCATATCACATGCTATAGACTCTGGATTGATCTTTGCATTGATTTGAACAATTTCTTTTAACATTTGACCTTCTTTAACAAGCATCTCTAACTGATGGAATCTTGGTTTCGCAATTTCTTTCTCAAGAAATGCTTTTAACTCAGACATAAATCTTTCTTCATCAGCTTCATTTCCAGATTCCAAGTCAAAAGACAGAGCAGCATCTTGTGGCACAAATCTCCACAGCTGATTACAAGAAGTGTGAGCAGCAAAATATCCAAATGCTGAGATCGACAGGTGAACAAATGCCCAGTGCCGCTCCCTTAGTAACATGTGATACAACTCCCAAGCAGCTGAACTCCGAGCACAATTATCACTATCTGCCAGCTCCATATGACCAAGACCGCCCATGAAATGAGCTAGGTTAGGTTTGCACCAAAATAGTTGACCATCTGATTCTTCTGGCCTCGAGATAAAGAGCTTCTGAAGCTCCAAAATAATTCCTTCCATATCATCAGATGAGTACAAATGTTTCATGTGAGAAAAAATGCCTAACAATTCACCTAGAAGCTTGCAGTAATGATCTTTAATTTGGTCGTCTGTGGAGTTTTTGTACTTGTGAATCATAGGAACTAGGTACTTCAGAGTTTTCATGTCAGTATCAGATAGGCTGACCTGGCTATACATGTATGAAAAAGAATTAACAAATACTTAAAATAAAACTAAAAGGGGTAAAACATAAATGTATAAAAGAACGTATTTGACGAATCAAGAAAGGATGTGAGATGTAATAATGAATGTTTTGTGCATAAACATTGGCGTTATATACTCAATTTATTCATGAGAGCAAGATCCAATAGATTTAAACTCGAAGTACTATAGTATCATATACTTACAGAGACTGCAAAGCAGCAGAGAGAGCAAAAACTGGAGCACCATAAATGCCAGAAACACATGGTTCAGATGACTTCTCTTCCATGCTCTCTATAAAGTCAAAAAATTCAGTTATAATTCTTTGTTTTGCAGTACTTCTTGTCTTTTCTGGAAGAAGATGTAAAGGGAAACCTTCCATTATTAGTGCTGTATACACACTTGATGAACACTGAGATCTGTCGTTCCCAACAACAGAAGTGTAAACTCGATCAACCATCAATTCTGTCCCGTAATTTAGAAACATGGAGATCAATCTTGCAATTTTTCGCAGATGACTACTAGGAAATAATACTGATTCTGGAACAGCTGTATGCCTCAATAGTGAGAAAAGTTTATCAATAATGTCATTCGTCATGTCTGGCTCAGCATGGCGCAACATGAAACACCAAAGTTCAGTAATAATTTCCCTACAGAGAAAGTGAGGATGGAAGAGATTTTCGAGAAGGAATGACTCTACTTCACCCCAAACCAGACTTGAAGAGGTTACTATCATGAATGTCTTCAACGCATGAAGTACAGAACAGAACATAGGCTGGTAACCAAGTTCCAGCTTTTGGCCAAAACTATTTGCAGTAGGAGTTTGCAAGACAAGAATTGAAGAATATACATCTTCATCTATGAGTATATCCAAAAGCCATCCTAGCTTTCTGGCAAGTCCAAATCTGACATCATCTTCTAGATCAGGAGCACTTTTCAAAAGATGAAGAAATAAAGCAACACGACCAAGGTCCAATACTTTTGCTCGGTTCATAGTATTGGAATTTACAGAAAATATTGGATGTAATGAATTGTTTCCATTGTAATTATTTGTAACTTTATCAACAGATCCCAATTCACTGTCATTACTGAACAACCAGTCCAATATCTGGAACTTTTGCTCTTCTTTCACCTGACCTGAATTTAGTAGACCATTGAGTAAATGTAGGGATGTTGGCTCCAGAATTTCTGCCAACACTTCACTTGCAGATTTCAAAGATTCTACCTTACTCAGCGAAATTCTAAAGGTCAATATCATAATGACACTGTGTGTTATATTTTTGTATAGAGAAAGTGCTTCACATTGGTATTGAGAAATAATTCTTACAGCGTTTATAAGATAAAATTTCACAGGTAGGTAAATCCTTTTAGCTTCAGACACAGAGACATTTTCTGTCATTGAAGCTGACCAAGTCCCAGCTGCACATCTTAAAGATTCGTTGGCCAGTGAAATTAGGGACATAATAACACCTGCTATGTTCACCTTTGCTGCCAAAGCACCCTTCCCGAGCTGAAGCAATGTGACTACACCTTTCCATGACATATTTAATAGACTCACAAGACTGCCACCGTTGTCAGCTGCAAGGACGCCCAATTCACACAACTTTTCTACTGTACATTTGATCACATTGATGACAGGATCTGCATTTTCAGCCTCCTTGCTCTCTGTAATGTTTTCAACTTCTTTAGCTTTCAAAATGTAGATATCCCAATTTATACCATCCGAATATACCCTGCATAGTCGAGTCACAGCATCGAGCGCCACCTGTACTGCTTTCAATAACTCTGGAACTAAAGTGTGAATCTTCTGGATAGCAATTAAGAGAGCACACATCAACGAGAAATAGGGGAAGATTTTTTTCAAATAAAAAATATTAACGCTGAAAAGTGTATCCAGTTGCACTCATCAAGCCAGCAAAATAAGTCAACACAAAATAGAAACAAAAATCATTTTTACTAATTAACTGTTCTATCAAGAAAACAATCCTTGACGTACAAACTTAGGATGTGTTTGACACCCATTTTAGAGAAAAAATAAATTTTGGAATAGTGATTGATAGAAGAATGTGCGGTTAAAAAGTAAAGAGAATTTTTGGGTTTATGTGTAATATTATTTTATTGATAGAATGTGTGAATGAAATGAAGAAAAAAAATGAGAATGAGAAGAAAATGGGTGTCAAACAGGATCTTAGTATCTCTATCATATTTAGTGTGGCAGAGCAAGTACAAGTACTAGTAGATAACAAAAATGCCTTCCTTGTAGGTAATAGGTTTGTTCGAGGCAGTTGTGGACTCTCGGAAGAATCGATGACAGCATCAAAGATACAACGCTTACGTCTGAGAATTTTTAATTGGCTAGCTGTGAATAGCCCCAGGACTATGGAACAAAGGATTATCCATGTAGCAACAAAGGGTACCTAATTTGATTTTCTCAATAGAATTACTACTTCGATTAAGGCATGCCTGATACTTGACAAAAGAGCAAGTTGCCAACGGACACCATCGGTGGTTTATCCACACAAATAATTAAATTGAGATCTGAAATTGTGTCTTTAGATAATATATCTTATCTCGAAAAACCATATAACGAATAAATTTATACATAAATCAAATTTTGGAACAAATCTCCAAAAGGAAACATGGAATTTATGAACTCAGATCAGGGACTTATGACAAAGATAGAATCAAAGCATGCATTCGTTACCTTTATTTCTGATACTGAATCTTTTGTCAGATTTAACTGTTCTGAAATGAAATTCCCAAGGCTTAACATCACCTCTTTGTTACTCAATACAGGATATCTTGCAAAAGCTGAATAGCTAGCAGAAGAGTAGCTCAGCACATCCAAAAGCAACTGAAGTGAAGTTAAAAGATGTCAAAGAACACTTGATGCAATTACATTTGAATGGAGTTCAAGCAGGTAAAAAGATACTTCAGGAAGCAAGAATAAAGAGTAAAAACATAATCTGAAACAGATATTGCTAAAAGCGGTTTACAATGGAAGCCCCCAATTAATTGGAAAAAAGAACCAAAAATAATCATACGATTTGTTAGTTGTTCTTTCATATGAAGATGGACATCATTTTCTTGTTTGTTACTAGGAAAGTTGGAAGGCAAATGGAAAAAAGGAGGAAGATAGACATGTCTCAAACAAAGGGCAAACCCATTCCATCTTTGGGGGTTATGGAACAGAGAAAAATGAAGAGAAGGGGACAAGAGTACAAATGCTTCAACTGCAAACATCTAACAAAATGAATTAGAAGCTTGTAATCCCTATCGAATCAACACTAAAGAAATCATATATGTTCAGGTCTGAAAAACTTTTGGAGAATATAAATAGAGCATTTATAATCAGATCGTGACGCAGACTTGCAAATTAGCAATGGTATAATCTGAATAACCTCAATTTGATTTACATACACGATTGTCAGAATAATTCTAAAGAGAAAAAAAAATGATAGCGTTGATGGAACCATCCAAAGAAAATTTCTATAGAAAGTCCCCGTTAGGTCAAGATTCTAAACAATATAACAAACATAGCCTTTATGCATTCCCATGGGAATTGTTTGCTTTCTAGTAAATCACAAGGTGTATAGTTTGCCTTCCTTGGTCTTTTTATGCAAGAAAGTTCACCTAAATCGCCAGTCAAGAGAACAATATATTGAATGAGTTGTGGATCTATACAATTACAGTCCAAAATTTTGTCATCCCAGCCGTTTATAATATCAGACTTGTTTACCTGATAGAAAATGCTACTGTGTTCCTCTTCTTGAGAATCCTCTGTTGACATCAGTGTCATCTTCAGATGCTTTCTACACCAAATGTTTGCCTAAGAAAAAAAGCCAGGATGAAAAGTATAGATCCACATTGAGGCAACAAAACCCAACATGTGCAGCAAAATATGTTTGCCTGAAAACAAAATATCTTCAGATGCAGTCTACACAACATGTTTGCCTAAGAAAAGAAGCCAGGATGAAAACCACAGATTCTTATTGAGGAAATGAAAACACACCATGTGCGGAAAAATATATCTGATAATTGTAGTCTGGATATTAAACAGACAACGAAAACAAACTTACTTTCATTCCTAGACCAAGAAATTGTCCTAGGCATTCAGATATATCTGAATCTAAGTATTTTGCAGCCACATGCAGAATAGTCTTATTCAGGGTGCACTGGGATACATCCAGGCAAGTGAAGTCTTCCCAGAATATCTAGTTATTGTTAAGGCATATAACAAGCAGCAATCAGAAATAACTGGAGAAATGAGGCATATGCATAAAACTGTAATATCAAATATCAAGACAAATAAAACTTACTGAAATGCCAGATATTCATTTTGCCTCAAACACAAAGCCTAAAATTTTCAGTAAGTTATATTGGGAGTAACGATCTTAGAACCCAACGAATAGCAAGAAATTCTGGTTCCACTTTCATCTTCATTATCTGGTTTAGCTCATATTGATAAGACAAGAAAAGTATTATTTCAACACCAAAATACCATTATATTTTTCTAAAATGACCAATAAGATCAAGCGGTTATGATATCAGAACCCTCAAACTACAAAATCAGTTGAATGCAAAGACATGTCAGCCTTCACTAGAAAATAATGGCAACTTACTTTAACCCTTTGTATCACGTTACATCTAAGAATTCGACTTCTGAAATCTCAATATTATCTAACAATTTAAATTTTCAATCAACTTATCCCAGTAAATCTCAGCTCTTCTTATTATGTTTCATAGCACAAGAAATAGCAATAAATTCGAATAACGAAATTTATACTAAGAGTACTCTAATAACGAAAGTGTGGAGCATCAATATGAGTTAATCATTTTCGGATACTATTAAAGATTCAATAAGAGAATTCATTTCAGATTTCTCAGTTAAATCTAACTCCTCCAATTCCACAATCAGTTGCACACGATTTTCAACAACCTGCAAGAGGTACAAATTTTCAAATGCAACAGAACTCGGTGCTGAATTTAAATAGAAAAAGAAATGCAAAAACTAAAAATTGAGAAGCCGACATATACACAGTGCATTTTTTTATCAGATCCTACTTTTACTTAGATAGGCATAATAATCGATTTAATACAAAAAATAGAATAAATATCCTCATTTTACGCTTTTCGACAATGGAAAATGCAATGTGAGACAATGACATTCAAAACTTCAGAATCTTAATTTCATTTTTTTCCTTATAGGATAAATTAATATCAACAACGTTATAACAAGAAATTAAAAGTATCCTAAAATTAAGCAACATTGTGCTTAAATAGCAGCAAAAAAAAAAAAAATTAATAAAACTAATATAAACAAAATTTAATTTAGAGCTACTGCGATGCTTACATCAGAAGATTTGATGGCTTCAAGTAAGCTCTGCAAATCTCTATCTGAGCTCGAGCCCTTCATTTTCCCCAAAAAAATTGAGTTATGACTCAGTCTCTCTCTCTCTGTCTCTCTCTAATAGCTCTCTCTACTTTCCCGCCATTCAAATGGAGAGGCAAAATATCTGGATAAAAAGACTCTTTTGGTCACCAGATTTTAAAAATGTGTCAGTTGAGTCACCAAAGATTTTTTTTTGGAATAGATAGTCATCGAACTTAAAAATTATTTCAGTTAAGTCACTTGTTGGTCTCCACTTATCTTGTTCTTCATAATTATGTGGTTTTATAATTTTTCCATTTAACTAGTTTAAGAAAATTTGAAGATATTTTCTCAATTATTCCCATCTACATAATCTTTACGCTTCTCTCTAAAATGAAAAGCTGAATATGATAACCTAAGTGCCTTATAGTAGGACAGTCACTATAGATAGTAAGATAAAAATAATGGTTTGTTTGATATGACTTCATTATTGACACGGTGAACGCTTATGGGAAAGAATAAGAGTCCGTTTGATATGACTTTTGAAAAGTCAAAATGAGCTTTTGGAACCCATAGTTGCTTTTGGATCCGTTTGACTAATTTTATGAAAGTACTTCTGGTAGTTAGAAGAGCTTTTAGAGGAAGTTGGTTCAATATGATTTTTTCTAAATGCACTTTTGAAATAGAAAGTGTTTTTAAAAATTAGTTTCCAAACAAAAATTGAGGTAACTTCCTTCAAAAACTCTTCTACAAAAAGCAAAAGTCGTGTCAAACGGGCCCTAAGAATCATACGTGAAACTCAAATTTGTTGATTAGTTTATGAATGTCAAGAAAGTGAGAGTAAAGTTAAAATTTCTTACTATTTTTTTATTATATGTAAAAATGAATGTTTCTAAGGTTTATAATCTTTATTTGAAGTAAGATAATAATAATGACGAAAATTTAAATAATAACAAAAATCTAAAAAATGACGAAAATTAAAAGCCCTCAGGATCAATCCGTAACAAACAAAATTGAATTTCAAATTTATTTACTAAAACAAATTATCAATAAAAGGAAAAAAGGCATTTTCAGAAGCCTAAATGATGGAATTTGTTCGAAAAAGATAGTACGTCAGGAAAACTATCGATCCTTTTCCAACTCATCGGGGTCTTTCCACTTAGCTTATGTTTGAGCCACATTATTTTTTTCATTCTCATTCTTCTACTTATTTTCAACCATATATTTTTTAATAAAATAATATTTTTTATCATATCAANTTGAGCCACATTATTTTTTTATTCATTTTTCTACTTATTTTCAACCACACATTTTTCAATGAAATAATATTTTTTATTAAATCAATAATTTTTCTTTCTTTTTCAACCACATATTCCCTATCACATCACTTTAAAAAAATGCATTCTCTCATTTTAATATACACCAAACACACTCTTAAGCTCTTCTTTTTGTACAGCATCAACCATCCATCTTAAACATCTCGTTATCTTCTAATTACAACAAATATCCTCTTTCTTTCAATGTACGGAATTGATATTGAATTTTATTTATTTATTTATTTTTACTTTAGTGCTAATATTTTCATTGATGAGATTTTCTTCGATTTATAATTAGAAGCTTATTCTTGAAGTGGGTAAAATTCGAGTATATAAGTATTTTTTTCATAATTGTCTTTTCAATAACAACGTAACTATTTTTTTTCATTAAAAATAAAAAAGAACCTATTGATTATATGTTAGTTAAAAAATGTTTTAATGGTTTATACTTTATAGCCCTTCTTAATCACTCTTTCCTTGATACATCCAAAATCTGTGGGTTTAATACACAGAAAATGACTTAAAGTCAGTTGAATTTTACTGCTTTTTATATTGAAAAACTGTGGACTGTTCCTAAAACATGGGCATAACCGCTTCTAGTTTTCTACACCCATGTTTTTGTCCACACACAGATTTGGTTTTTCCCAAATCCCTCCATATATATACACAGAATCAAGATTTTCACTCCCACAAATAAACAGAAAAATTCCCGTAAAAATTCTTGATTTTACTCAGTTTTGATCTATCTATATCTGTATCTGTACATCAAAAAACATGAGTGCAGCAAGAAAAGCATGGATTGTGGCAGCAAGCATTGGAGCAGTTGAAGCACTGAAAGATCAAGGAGTCTGCAGATGGAATTATCCTTTAAGATTACTGCATAATCATGCCAAGAACAATCTCAAATCCTATTACCAGACTCAAATTCTACCTCCAACCGCAAGATTTTCTCCTGCTGCTGCTGCTATTAGGAAGATGAAGAGAAGTGAAAAATCTATGGATAAAGTGATGGATTTGAGCTGTTGGGGTCCCAGTACTGTTAGATTCTAAGAATTATTAGGTTCCAGTTTATGCATATGATGGCTGATGACAGAATTGCAAATTTTGAGATGTATATTTTCTTAATTTTATGGGTTTCTTTTTGTTTAACATATAATTATTGATTACTTTTGAAACAATAAGCTTTACAACAATTATTGATCCTTCCTCTCCAAACAAAAAGATACATTGGCAAAAATATATTTAGGGCATATTTGGTACAAATTCTCATTTTCTACAGTAAATCAATTCTCATTTTCAACCACACATTCTTCAATAAAATAATATTTTCCACCACGTCAATAATTTTTTCTTCTTTTTCAATCACACATTTCCCATCATATCACTATTCAAAAATCAATTCTTCCCTAAAAAATTCCTACCAAACACACTCTTATAATAGTTTTCGTCTAGAAATTCGTTAAAAAGTTATTTTATAATATTTTTTTTATTTAAATTGACAAATAAACAAGATCTTTCATACTTTTTTAGAAA